TTTCTTGTTATTGTGTCAGTGGCATAAAATGGTTTCAGTATTGTTTATGGCAGCTCCTCTCTACAGCAATATATCATCTACGAAATGGGTTATCCTGACAGGCCTAGAACTGAGCAAGGACTAAACTAGGACTAAACCAGGAGTGAACCAGGACTGAATCAGGACTAAACCAAAAATAAACCATGACTGTACGAGAACTGAACCGACTGATCCAGCACTAGACCAGAATTGAACCAAGACTGATCCAGCACACAACCAGGACTAAACCAGAACTAAACCAGGACTGAACCAGGACTGAACCAGGACTGAACCAGGACTGAACCAGAACTGAACCAGAACTGAACCAGAACTGAACCAGCACCAAACCAAGACTAAACCAGAACTAAACCATGACTATAAGAGAACTGAACCGACTGATCCAGCACTAAACCAGGACTGAACCAGAACCAAACCAGGACTAAACCAGCACTAAATCAGGACTAAACCAGCACTAAACCAGGACTGAACCAGGATTAAACCAGAACCAAACCAGGACTAAACCAGCACTGAACCAGAACCAAACCAGGACTAAACCAGCACTGAACCAGCACTAAACCAGGACTAAACCAGGACTGAAACAGGACTGAACCAGGACTGAACCAGCACTAAACCAAAACTAAACCATGACTATAAGAGAACCGAAACAAGACTGATCCAGCACTAAACCAGGACTGAACCAGGATTAAACCAGAACCAAACCAGTACTAAACCAGCACTGAACCAGGACTAAACCAGGACTGAACCAGCACTAAACAAGGACTGAACCAGGACTGAACCAGAACTGAACCAGCACTAAACCAAGACTAAACCAGGACTATACCAGAACTGAAGCAGAACTGAAGCAGGACTGAACCAGGACAAAACCAGGACTAAACCAGGACTAAACCAGGACTGAACCATCACTAAAAAAGCACTAAACCAGAACTAAACCAGGACTGAACTATCACTAAAGAAGGACTAAAGCAAAACTAAACCAGGACTAAACTTAGTATCAACATTTAAGTATTGTAAAACTAGAGATCCACTGATCCAGCTTTTCTCAGCTCTGATACCGATTTCTATACCAGAGCTTTAAATATCTGCCAATACCCGATATCGACCGATACCAAAGCAGAGACTGAAAAGAGCATTTATGTCCTTAAAACAAAAATAAAACTGATCCAAATGTGTTACAGTATGTGGCTGTTACGTATCTCTCAAGTAACTACAGGACATCTTTGTATACATAAAAGTTCAAACACATTTGGTAGCCGATATCCGATCCCACAAACATCCAGTATTGAATCAGTGAATCCCTGGAAAACACTATTAATTTCAGCACATAAACCACTCAAACTGGCCCTCAAAACTGAAACCAAAAGTGATTCAAAAAGTGCCCCCCCTTCTCTGATACCATTGTGTTATCAGAGCAATTTTGCGTCTGTCCTGTTTACCGTAGAGCACACAGACACATGGAAATCCCCCTCACACATATTTGATTAAAACATACATGATAAAAACTCAGCTGTTGATAGAACCGAAAGCAAAAATCCAGATGTTTCCCATGTATTTGAGCAAGACTTGTCTCGCCCCAGTACAGATACATTGCATAAGCATCTCTTGAGGTCAAAATAAGTCCGCAGTGTACTGTCTGTGTCTAATTAAAATGTTTCATTGTTGTAGTTTTAGTCACAGCGAAACTCTTCTCTGGTCTGAAAGTGGTGCAAAGAGCTTATAAACTCATCATGGTGAATAACTGGGATGCTTGACAGATACATAGTAAAAGGCATAGAAGGCTCTTAGGATCAAAATGAGAGCGTTGTGGACTATCTGCTTCTAATTATTGTATTTAAGTGTTTTTATTGTCCGTGAATCAGTCTCGCACCAGTCACTATGGTCTCTGAAAGTTGTGAAAAGCTCTTTGAAACTTATTGTGTTAAATAATTAGGATGCTCTGAATGCGTAAGGTACCATATTTTTCCGACTACAAGTGGCACTTTTTTCATGGTTTGGGTGTTTCCTGCGACTTACACTCCGGTGCCACTTATATATTAAAATTTTCAGACTGACAGCCACGAGAGGCTCTAGGCTTGTGTGTCAGTATCTGCTGCTACTATCTCCTCCTGTACCACTGTCACTTCACACTCTTCTGCGCATGTCTCCTGTATAAAAAAACATTGTCTCGCTGCAAATAGTGAAATCTGGAGCCGAAAACGGTAATGGAGCAGCAGAAAGAAAGTTTGGAGTGAGCGAGAAACTTGTGAGGGAATGGCAGAAAGCGGGGATGGAGAACACAGCTTCACGGCAACCGGGCAGGTGCGCCATGCAACTTTCCTGGAAGTCACTGGATGAATCGACAAAGCCTGAACTTCAATGACAACTGAAATCATCCTGTCGGGATTCAGTTATAACAGGAACTGATGCTGAGTCTGTCGACAGCTACGCAGAAGAGGAAGCGGTGCTCCATTTACATCATGGATCTATGGTTTATCTCCGGAGGTCGCGCAGAAATGACACCAAGGATGAATTCAATGGATTTAGTGATCTGGAGTGAGATCCTGAATTTGGTAAACTTATGGTCTGTTTATGCTATAATTATCTGAATAACTCTTAATATCTTACGTTAACATATTAACTCCTATTCAGTCTGTTGTTCTCTGTTCTGTTGTTATTAGTATATCTTGCCTTTCAAGATGAAATGTTGGTTCCTGGTCTCTGATTTTATAAAATACATTTCCCCCAAAAATGCAACTTATATATGTTTTTTTTCTTCTTCATTGCACATTTTTTGGCTTGTGCGACTTATACTCCGGAGCAACTTATAGTCTGAAAAATATGGTACGTGAGCAATAACTTTGGACCACTCCAAGGAATGTTCCGCAGTGTATCTGTCTCCATAAATACACCCTCAGGTTACATGTCAAATCTGCGATGCATATTTTTTCGCAGTATCTTTGGGTAACACTAAAACTACCCATAAGTATCAGGCTATGTTTAATTCCGTACTGTGGAACATTCAAGACAAACCAGTCAAATTTCCACAACCACTAGAAAAGTTACACAATGTACCTTGAAGTGTTTAACCAAAGCCTTGTATCTTCTTTAGTGGATTGTATGGGCAGAGCGTTTTGTCTCCGTCAGAGCAAAGCCACAGCTGTTGATTAACTTCATGTTGTTTAAACTTTGAGGATATGAACCGGGACAGGCCACTTCCTGCGCTTCCTCTCAACAGAACACACTGCACACGACACAAACAGAGGCCTAAAGCAGAACTCATGAGCTGATTTTGAAACCGTCTAAAGAAACAGTCTTTTTATTATCATTGTGGTATTGGAATCAGTGTGGAGCCTATTCCTTAATACTGAAATAGAGATTGAAATTGTGGTTTCATGAGCCGTGACATTAGGTTTTAATAATTTGTCTTAAAAAACATCCTGTGTTTGTACTGTTCAATTATGTGCTGTAAATAACTGACAGGTTCATAATAAGAGATTTCAAGGAATTTAGACACAGTATGTAACTCTCTGGAGTTGACACTTCTCCTGCATGATTCCATAGTAACAGAAACTTAAAACTGTACTTTTCCATGGAGACAGATACGTTTTATGCCGTTTTATACTGTATTAAAAAAAAGGAGCAACATTTCCATTGAAACAGGCAGGAGGAGGCCAGAGCTGAGTCAGGTTTGTGGAGATGCAAGCCTGCTCACAGGAAGGAAGGACACCTGATTTCAATGCAATAAAAATAAAACCAAAATACTACTACTACTACTACTACTACTACTACTACTACTACTACTACTAATAATAATAATAATGATGATGATGATAAAGATGGTAACTAAGACATCGTTCTGCAAATATAATTAGCTAAAAAAGATGTATGGCTTTGGCTAAACACTTAAAGCTACATTGTGTAACTTTTCTGGTGGCGGTGCGACTCCATGGACACGTGATTAATTTGCCTTGAAAATTCCACAGTAAGGCATTAAACAAATCCATCTAGTATTTACCTTTCTGTGTGTGAGTGTTTTTTAGTTTCGTTTATAAAGAGAAGTTTAGAAGAGAAGTAAAAGCAGAAAATGTACCAAAATAAGAACAACTGTATCAAAAACAAATATGACTCAAGTAGAAGTGAAAAGTTACTAGTAATTCATTAAAATACTTACAAATAATAGTAATAGTACACATCAGACATGAAAAATACACACGTTCTGATCGGAGTATACCAAGGGCAAAATGTGCACATGCTGTAAATGGATTCATTATATTTTCACATAAATTACATCTAATTTGATCCAACCTTACGAAATATTATCACGTTATAATGTTTAAATTTTAATTATAATTTCGTTCTAAAAGGACTTTGCCTGCGCAGATACCACCCTCCATATTATCTATTCCGCAACAGTGACGCACTTTACACTTGACAAACACCACACAAGGAGATTAAACAATGACGAATAAAGAGATTACACAAATAACAGCAAAGTAAAGCAAATATATTACAATAAATAAGCTTACACGTATACATTTATGTGTACTTTAACCTTTTGCAGTGTTGTCATGAGATAAACCAGAGCAGATACGTGCATGTGACTTTTGTTTCTCTATAAACATTTAGTTAAATCCAATGCAATCGTTGTGCAATTATGTATTAATTAAAACCGTAAATGTTAATTAAATAGTTGTAAGGCCTTATCAGCTTGTGTCATGGTAAAAAAAAAAAGTGCTTTGATACACGCCCGAAACAGGAATTGCGACTATCAAACACAAACCAGCATTGGCTTTGCATAAAAGGCGTGCAAAAGCGCTGAAATAAACACATTTATCGTACGGAAACATAGTTAAATCGGTAATAAAAGAGTAACTGTGAGTTTAAGCATTGAAATAGCATTAAAAGCATGTCAATCGCGTCTGTTTTGACTCGTAAAACACCGCTTTTATCTAGTTGGCCATGTTTTTTTCTGGCTAACTACTTACTTTGTCCTCGTCCTCTGGTATCAGACTTTCTGCGTCCTTCTTTGCGTCTTTTTGAGCCAACGCTGAGTTAAACGATACTTTGACCATCCTGGAAATAAGGGAAACACGAAGCCCAAATAGTAGAAAAAAACTGTTAAATCCCGGGAAACTGTGAAAACGTGTAAGGAATTCGCTTCGAAGTCAGGAATACGGCCGAAACAGTGGTCAGGCGGAGAAAAAAAAACTACAAACATGCACACTTCCGGATTTCACAACAAAACTACAAAGGATTAAGCCATAATTTCCGGTATCCTAAAAATAAAATAATCCTTGGGAAAAATATTTAGTTTAAAAAGGTTCATTCATTGTAATGTGTGAGCTACAGTAATTTCCCTGAATCAATAAAGTTTGTATTGTATTCGCATTATAAGCATTTAACATTAAATTCACAATTAATGGCGTAGCTATATAGTTTCATGGGCCTGTTTATACTCCTTAGCCATTCGATAGGTTTTTATGTTTTAAAAATGGTTCAGGCATCTATTGGGATTTATTTATTTATATTTATTTTTTTCTTTATTTTTATATTTTTTTTATTATTTTTTAATTTATCAATTTATCTCTGAGAAACATTCGGAGACAATTTACATTTTCTTTTTGACCCAGACTTAGGAATTAATAAGATATACTAAGGCTATACTTCAGTTTAAACAATGGCAGAGAGATATGACAGAGAGGATTTGGCTGCTCCATTTACAAGAAATTACAAGCAACAACAACAACAACAACAACAACAACAAACTGATAAATTGACAAATAATACTTTTCATTATTAAATTAGGAAAATAGAGAGGAGAATTTGATTTGGCCTCTACCTCTTTTTATGTGCCTCAATTTCTTAATAATTAGGTTTGATAATTGGGGAAAAAAAACAAACAAACAAACAAACAAAAAAACATACTAATTTACTTTTTTTACTTTTTATTTATTTGTAAATATTTAGATTTTGATTGCATGCACTTTTTAATACTGTCTGCAGTCTGCACTTTATTGTGTATTAACCAATCTATTGTATCTCTGCACAATTAAGTTCTATCTGACATGTATTGTGAAGAGAATTAATTAATAGAATTATGAAATAGATTTGTACAGTGGTAATTCCCCTTTATGTGTTACTTTTCTAAGCATTTTAAAGTTTTTCTAAGCAATTTTATTCTCTCGTTTCTGTTTTTGCACACGGGAGGTCGCTGGTTGAAGTTTTAGTATGTTCAGCTCCACTTCCTGTCATGCGCAGAAGCCTCATCCCAAAACATGGCGACGGCGGCGGAGAAATCAACAAAAGAGCGGCTCGTGTCTGTTTTGGACGATCTGGAGGTTTTATCGCGGTAAAAACAACTCTTCTTTTATTACTCACACAATTAAACATATCCCCTTACGTCTGCGCAGGTATTTTCACGTTGTTGTGTTTTTTAGTGCACTTTATTGACTTGTGCGAAGCCTTTCTTCGTTCAACACATGCTTCCTCGTTCATTGATTCATACTTTCTAAATATATAAAGACTGCTTTTTTATTTTTTAGGGAATTGATAGAGATGTTGGCCTTGTCCCGAAATCAGAAATTACCGCAGCCAGGAGAGGATGCACAGGTAAGAAGGAATACACTTTAAATTGATAACCAAACTGTTATAATTATACCAAAAATAAATTTCTTATAAAAATAAAACAAAAAACAGAACAGATTGGATTTCTTTTGTCAGAAGCATATGTTTATAAGATTTTTCCCCAACCGATTATGCTATATGTTGACGTAATCGTTAACATTAATTAAACTTTTAAATAAGGGTTTACAGTTTTCTTTTTTTTTTTTATTTTGTGTCTATGATATTTATTTACCCAGGAAAATTTGTAGGTTAACATTTTAGCTTGTAATTTTGATGATTGAATAATGTTATTACTCAAATAGATAATTGTGGCAGTCTTTTCCAGAAATCATGGTAATTACCGTAATGTCATATCTTTTCTACCTAATCATATGGTTTTTATTTGTCAGATTTTGGAGCTGCTGGTTCAGAGGGACCGTGAGTTTCAGGACCTGATGGCAGTGGCTCAGTCTCAGGGCAAAGTTCATGAGGAAATGCAGCGTTTGGAGAAAGAAGTGGAGAAGAGAGACAGCGACATCCAACAACTGCAGAAACAACTGAAAGAGGCCGAGCACATACTGGTGGGTTTAACAACACGTTTACAACATGATACATGAACAAAATCATGTTCTTGAGCTTGTGAATATTTACTTATTCGACCCTGTACAGCACAAACTTGTAGTACTATTACTACTACAAAAAAATTTGCACTAGTGCAAAGAAAATGTACACAAAAAATTTTGAGCCCCAGAATATATTCTTTTATAAGTTGCAATTATTTTGACATGCCCATTATTTTTTCTTTTTGTTGTGTTTTAAAGTTTATTTGCATGTGTAAAAATGGGGTCGGGGATTGTTGAATGGATTGGACAGAAACCCCTCTGATCATCACACACTCATACATGCTGGGTGAAGTGTCTTGTGCATGAACATAATGACAGAAGCTGGGATTGAACCTGCAATAGAGCCCCTGAGTGTTGTTCCCTAGTTAATATGATAAAGGGCAAATTTTGATATTTAGGCTTTATGATCTTAGGGATGCAATGGTATTTGAATATGAATATTTAAATATGGAATTGTTCGATACGGGTGTCATGATTCGATAACATGTATTCACTTTATATGCACATGTGCCTCCATTGCTGTGTTGTAATTTTGGTCTGGAAGAATCCCCAGATGCAGTGAGTCAGTGGCGCCTGCAGGTGTACGCCTGTACACACTGTGCGTACTTGTATGTCCTAAGATGTTAAGCGTGGAGGAGAGTGACAGTGATTAATGACCATTAATTGTTGACTTTTTTTTACTAAGGGTAGGGCTGTAAAACTATTAACTATAAAGTTACTTCTGAGTCAACTGAAATATTCTAACAGAGGTGGGGTTTATCTTTCAGTCATTTTTAATTTTACGATGAAAGACCCAGAAATTACAAAAATATGAAATTTTCAATACTATAACTTAAAACGAACTTAACTTTACATGACATTAATCAAAAGCACTCGTATATGCACATGCATCACAACTTGGACTCGCAATATACGCAATCTTTTTCTCAGACTCTACATAAGTCATAGGTTTTACTCAGAATCGATATTGTGAACCATGTATCAAGGTACATATCAAATCATGACAAAACTGTATCATTGCATCTGTGGTAAATACCATATCTTTTACTGACAAAATACCGTCACCAGAGTACTTACATTATTTGTGTGGTTTCAGGCTACTGCTGTTTACCAGGCCAAAGAGAAACTCAAGTCCATTGACAAAGCCAGAAAAGGTTTGTTTCTACATGACTTTATAATTTACTGACTTTATAAGTTATTTATTATTTATTATATCTATGTTTTATAAATGTTTTGCAGGAAGTGTTTCGTCAGAGGAGCTGATTAAGTACGCTCATAGAATCAGTGCCAGCAACGCCGTTTGTGCTCCTCTCAACTGGGTCCCAGGTAAATAACAATAACCTTTGTATTCATATTTAAAGTGGACATATTATGTAAACTCAACCTTTACAAACCTTTAGCCATGTTACAGTTGGGTTCCTTCCCCATTAGCTTACTCGAAGTTCTATTTTAATTGATTCATGCAGTTTGATTCATGCACACATCCACTTCCCTATACTAACTTACAAAATATAAAATAATAATCTACATACAGTCTGTTATAGTTTATTACAAAGAACAAGATAAAGCATACTATGTCTTCTTTAAAACCCTTTACACAAATGATTAGAGATCAACCAATATGCTTTTTTTCCATTTTTTTTCTATATTTTAGTATCGAGTGCATCTGATGCTCAACATAAAGGAGAATTTTTATATTTTTAGGTCCTTCCTCTCTTTCTCTATCCCCTTTCTTTTCTACCACATCTTGTCTCTTTGCCCCTCACCTCTCAGTGTTTCCCCCCTCCCTCCCCCTCTCTCCTGCATTTATGATTAACTGGTCAAATAACTTGGTCTCCCTCTATTTAAGCTTGAACTTCCCCTTGCGTTTCCTCAGGCGACCCGCGCAGGCCGTACCCCACAGACCTGGAGATGCGCAGTGGGATGTTGGGGCTCATGGCGAATCTTCCCTCAAACGGAGTGAATGGACATCTGCCAGGAGACGCTCTGGCTGCAGGGAGGCTACCAGGTCAGAGCACTCAAATACTGACTATGGAAATAAGATGCAGTAATGTGGTTTGTTTTTATTGTTACTCATTTCCTTTTCCCATGAGCGTCGCAATTGTGATTGGATCTCCGATTTATGTTTTAATGGGCCCATATTACACAAAATTGACTCTTATGAGCTTTAAGCCATGTTAAAGTGCTGTTACCTCATCAAAAACAACAATATCTGGAGTTGTGTTTTGTTTTATTCACACTTTTCACACATAGATCAGAAAATAGCGTAATATGGGTCCTTTAATAATAGGATTCTGTTCAAGTTAACATTTTTAAATTTGCCCACAAGAAAAAGACTGAAATATGAACTGAAAAACTAATAATCACATTTCAGATCTAAACTACGGGGCAAACAGTTTTTATGCAGAAAATGTGTTGTTTGTGGCAGAAATTATTGTACATCAAATATTAAAGCTTCTTTGATTTGTTAATTTTGTCCAATCAAATTCAGATTTTGATTTGATTGTGATTAATCTTAAGTTTGTGGAAAATTAATTTGAGTGTGTGGAAAAGAGCAATGCTTTTGTCCTTTTATTTTCTATTGTTTATATTGTACTTCATGTCCCCCTCTTCAGACGTGCTGACCCCCCACTACCCGTGGCAGTCGTCGGACGTCTCAGTGGGGATGCTTCCTCCTCATCACGGCTCAGATCTGGGGCTGGAGCCTCCAGGGCACAACAAGGAGAACGAGGAGGATGTGGAAAACATGTCCACAGACTCGTCCAGCAGCAGCAGCGACTCGGACTGAAACAAACACTCTCAAAGCTTACACTGCAAAAAACAGTATCTGTGGTTAAAGTTGCACTATGCAACTTTTCTCGTGGAGGGTCTGGCATCAGCTTGTCTACAGAGAGATGTTATTGCTTTGCCTGGGATGTTCCACAGTATGGCATTAAACTAATATCTCAAAACAACATTAAAAACATGCATTATTACTGTGAGTAGGTCCACAGATCTGAAATGTAACTTGGCGTTGTGGTGTGACCTGCTCGTCTCCATGGAGATAAAGATACAGAGTTAAATGCCATCCTGTAGATCATTCTGACAGACCTTCTACCAGAAAAGTTACACAGTTTACCTTTAAGGTTCACTTGATTGAAGTGATATTGGTTCTCTCCATTTGATCCATAACCTAAAGTTATTCCTCATTTACCTTATACATTCTGAGCATCCTAATTATTCACTGTAATGATTTCATAAGCACTTTTCACGACTTAGAGATGGAGCGGAGCTTTGCCAGCACGGTAATGCTAACAGCAACAACTAGCAGCCTAACAGCACACCAGCATTGCTTCCTGGTTTTTGAAAGATAAAAACTGACCATATCATTCTGACCATAAGGGCTCCTTTTATAATATATATTTACAATTTATACATTTACAAAATATCCGTGCTGTGGGAAACAAATCCAGTACAGCCACTTTGTCTCTGGGGTATAAACCTGTTTTAATACATTTCCTTTTTAAAGTAAATTGTTTGCTAACAATTGAGAGCATTTAAAATGCTTTATTTTTGCCATTGGGACTTTTTCATTTATCTTTTCTATCTCAGAAACCATCAAAAATGTCATACAACAAGTCAGATAATCTAGGTCCTCTTTTGCAGCTCAACAGTGACCGCCCACTACACCAAACTTCTCATTTTCCCCTTAGACTTTTTGAAAACAAAAATACTAAAAATATGAAAGCTCAGGGCTAATGATGTAACTAAAAACCACAAGACCTTGAATTTTATGTAAAATCTGTTACTGAAACTTTATAAACCATTGAGTTTTTTTTTAGTTTTTTTTCTGCATCTTGTTTTTTAAATGTGCTTTTTGGATTTAAAACAACCGTGGATAATATTTAGCACATAGTTGGTTAGCCTTCACAATATCTTTAATCTCTTAATATTTGAATTTTTTGATGTCTATGGGAAAAATAATGGAAAAGTCACTTCTGGAACCAGAGTGGTCAGTCACTGTTGAGCTCCATTACATCAGTCGTACTGGTCAAAACACTGCTCAATTTTTAATGAACATTCTGAATGCAGATTACTGTGTAAGAAAAGAAAGGAAATTAAAATGTAGCTATGGACAGTTAAGGCAACACGACTCAACAGGCAACAGGAAGACACTAACTTAACCTACATTTAGACAAACTGCGAATTGAATCTTTACATTATGGGTTTGAATGGATGAGACTAAATACTGACACCATCAGCTGAAATATGCTTTTGTTTTGTGGTGATTCTTGTCACTGAATTTTCTGCTCAAAATATTTTTGTAATTACATTTTGTTTTGTTGTAAATAGAAATGTACATATTCAGTCATGTAAATAAATGTTTTCAGAAGAACAAAATGTGCAAAATGAATTAGTACTTTTCAACTGTAATTACATAACATTTTTGATGACCACTACTTATTACTAGATGATTTGTGGTAAATGGTCAGTAAATATTAAGGTTACTTCTCTGAGCTTATAGGTGACAAAAGCTGTTGACTTGGCTTCTGAAATATTTCACTTTTTCTAATGTTTATGTTTTATTCAAGTTATTTGCTATAAACATAAATCAGATGTCCAAACTCAGTTCCTCTGGAATAGTAGCATGACAATTCATTTTTTATTATTTTATTTGAATATTATTTTTAAGTAGCCTATTTTCTTTTTACTTCTGTACCCACTAATACATTGAATAACTCTAAGATACATTTTATTAGACTTATAGCTGGCCATCTTTTTTTTTTTTTTTTTTTTTTTTACAAATAATAAAAATACTTAATCCAATTCATGTTAAATCTGAGTGATGGCCCCTCTCTGTTGATGACAGCGCATGCGTCGAGCCTGCCGTACTGAAGACATGGCGACCTCCCTGATCTGCGGCCGTCTGTCGGCTAGCCTCCGAAACTCCGGGGCTCGGAGCGCCCTGAGCTCCGCTACAAAGGTGGGTCTGCGCCAGGGTTAAAGCATGGGTCTCAGGCTTCACGGACATATGTGATTTATATCTTTAGGTCATTTCTGGAGGATGCAATAAAACAAAAACGAGCAGGGTCAAAAGTGACATTAGCTCTGTCCCCATTGAGAAAGCGTTGTTTTGGCTAAAGCTGTTAGCATGTCCAGCTGTCAAAGCATTGACGCTCACATTAAGCAGTCAAACTGAATAACGATTATGTTAACTGAACCATCAAGACTAGTATTTATTTATATAACTGTGTGAAATCTGTATGTTTATTTCTGTCCTTTATATCATGTTGTTATTGTTGAGCTAAGTGACCTCCAGAGCCGCCGTAGCTGCTAGCCCCGTCTCCCCCGGCACCTGTCCACTCTCTCCCGCTGCGTCCCTCCCTCTGTCCCGGTGGAAAGTTGTCTTTGCTAATCCTGATCCTTTGTCCGCATCGCACTGTGGTAATAGCGGAGATTTAAGAGCTCATTCCAGTGTTACGATAACAACGAGAATGCAGAAGGAAAATAAGGAAGAATGCACCACTCTGTACTAACTGAGCTTGAACAAGACCAAACAAGTCACTATAAAACAATCTTGTAGCTGGTTATTTATTCATGGAAACAACGCCTTTGCTCACAGTCTGGAGAAACGTGCATGCAATGAACTACTATACTAAAAAAAAAATAATAATAATAATAATATCATACTTTGGAACATTCTCCATGAAGATAGATAAGTTCTATCAACAAAATGTCCATGGAAACAAGCAGTAACAGGCCCTCCTCCAGGCCAAATAAGAGCCGGGTTTGAGGCAAGAAGCAAGCCCACTCACAGTAAGGATGCAAGTTTTTCATTGCGATAAACAACCAAAATGAAAAACAAAAAAATTTTGTTTATTTTCTGGCTAAAAGGTGCCAACTATGGCTTTAAGGTGCATCGTAATTGTTTAACATAGACATGAACTACAATTACATATTTTCTGATTTGCCTGGAATTTGTAATATGAAAACAAAATAGAGCCACCAGCTTGTCTCCATGGAAATGTTATTGCTTTGCCTGGAATGTTTCACAGTATGACATTAAACAATCTATCTAATATTTATAAAAATAACAGGCCGTTTCATAGCTTAAAAATACCTTAAATACCATAAAATCATTCACTCTTCTTTCTGTGAGCAGGGTTATCTTCACAGATCTGACCTGTACCTTGACCAGGTTGTCCCCCCCTGCACGGAGAAGAATGATTTTAATGCCATACTTTGGAACATTCTAACCTCAAGCACCAGAAAAGTGACATAGTGTGCCTTTTTAAAAATGAAGATAATCATTCATAAGTCTGAAACAATTAAAAAGTTACATTTCTCAAGAAGATTTTGAAAACATTATTGCGTTATGATCTTACTATTACTGAGTTTCACTTACAATAAAAATGTCCCTACCTCGCAGTGTAATAACTAAACATTTGTAGTACTAAATGCTGTAACTATGGTTGCCTTGTTGGACTTTATTAACAGTAACAATAACAGTAGCTGTAATCTACTCAATGCTATGTGATATCACCATGGAGGACAGCTCGGTAAACTAAATGCACTTGTTATTGTTATCTTAAACGTTATTATTTTGACTTTTAAAATGGCTGCTTGAAGCCTTTAGAATCTGACACCAGGCCGAGGGTTGCTGGTTCTATTTCTGGCCCGTTGAGTTTTGCGTTGGACTGAGCAGAGGCTGTTGTTTTCTAAATACCTCCAGAAGTGTAAGAAGAGGACGCACTGATAGCAGGGAGAGACTGTTAAGTGTGAGGCAATACAAGAACACAGAATCATAGTCATTATCATGCTTTGGCCTTTCAGACGTTTGTTTACTTTTACAAGGTATAAGCAAAAAAATGCGTCTATAAAAGTGTAGAGACAAACTTAAAACTTACTGATACGTATGCTTCATGACGTGTACAGTACTCTGAATACATTTTCGATAACACTGTTTTTTTTTATCAACATTTTTAATTATTATGGTGATTGATGTAGTTTGATGTTCAAACATAGACACGCCCACACCCTCATGCTATTGGTCAGTCTCTGTCATGCTCTGTGAGAGTGACAGGTGGATTTAACCAATCACAGAGAAGCGTGAACTCTCAATCAACAGTAGGGCGAGTTTGAGACAATATAACTGTTCATTTACATCTAAAATGTTTACATATTCAATCAACTAAAATTCATGAATGCTCTTAATTCTGAAATTGTAATTCTTAAAAGCAACAATGAAGTAATTTTTTTATTCGCCAGACTTTTGTTTTGTTTTGTGCATGTGTGTTTGGGTTTATTGTTTACGTGCAAAAACTCGGCCTAAATTTGACCCACCAAGAGAAAAATAAAATCATCCATCCCCTAAAGCCTAAAGTTTAATGCTTACATATTGTTGTAATATTGATTTTTGGAAATAATTTCGATCTTTGGTTTGTCCTCAGATTCTGGGCGGTTCGTCGGGGCTCCTGGCTCAGTGCTGCCCCCCTCAGCCTCCTCACTGTCAGCAGCAGCAGAGGGCGCTGTCTCTACACGAGTACATGAGCATCGGGCTGCTGAAGGAGGCTGGGATCTCTGTCCCGGAGGGAAAAGTGGCGAGCTCCTCAGAGGAAGCCTACGCTGTCGCCAAGGAGATGGGTCAGTCACAACGATATCACTGTGTCTCAGAGTTTCACCACACACAGTTTATTGAACCAACATTTTTCATTTCATTTTCATTTGTAAGCTTCATGCGACTTGGACTTTCCAGAGTTACTGAGGAAGTTTGGGGTTTAATTGCATAATAATTTTTAGGAACAATGCTGATTATTACTTTTTATATTTGAATTTTAGGTTGCAACATGCGCTACCAGTCAAATGGATTTGATGTTTTACTTTACTACTTCCCTTATTTTGACTACTTCCCTTATTTTGGCTGCTTCCCTTATACAGGAGACTATGGTGGCTCCCCACAGTCTTTTCCCCTATAGACTAACAACAACCTGGACTATATCGGCATAACTACACTTTGCTGTTCAATGTATTATCATAAACTCAGAAGAGACTGCATTGTTAAAAGTGACTGGTTAGAGGTCCAATATTACACAAAACTGACTCCTGCGAGCTTTATCCCAAGTTAGAATAACCCTTTATTATTAGTCTGTCTACATCTCCAAAGTTCAAAATGCTCTGTTCCACCTTGTGTTTTCATGAAGTGGTAGTTTTCAAGTTAGAAGCTACCTTTCATGTTTTCTTCAGTAGAGACGGGCAATTCCAGGGCTGAAATAATCCCAGTGATTCAAGTAAAGGTGTATGGAGTTTAAAAATACAATGGAGTAGGGATGTAACAATAACCAAAATATCATGATATCGTATCGTCAAAGTTCTCACAATAATATCGTGGGCCATCACAATATATCGAATTACAAGTCTCTTTGCCTAATTTAAGAGTTGTGGTGCAGCATTAGCTAAAAAAAGACAGAGGGAACTACACAGACCATGATCCTTTGCTCCATTTCAGTGTAGACTACATGAAGAAATAACATTTCTAAGCACTTTTAAGTCTTAGTTCTTTTTATTAAGTCTCGTCAAGACATTTTAAGAGGAAAAAGTAGGGTATTCACAGTTTTAGCTGTTTAGCCTTCACAGAATATCGCAATAAATATCGTACCGTGAGATGTATATCGTGAAAATATTGTACTGAGAGATTTGGATATCATTACATCCCTAATCGTGAGCCTCCCCATCATATTGTGAGCTTTCCCACGATATCACAGTAAATATTGTACTGTGAGGTTCATACCGTGACAATATCGTATCGTAAGTCTTGGATATCGTTACACCCCTACAGTGGAGCACTTCCTGTATAACCACATGACATCACAAAGTGGAACAGAGTGTTTTCAGTTTGAGAGAAGAGAGTGTGAATGAAACAAAACACAACTCCAGGTATGTTTGTGATGAGGAAACAACATTAGAACATAGATCAGAAAATTGTGTTATATGAGCCCTTTAAAGATTAAATATATGTAGAAAGTGGCATTTAAAAATTGAAAGAAATTAAATAAAATAAACATTATTTGTTCCACCATAATTTTAACCAAATCTAAGGGAAACGCTGTTCCAATATTATGCAGCCCTATTCCAGATATTGCTAAAAAAAACATATGATAAAAAATTAAACTGTTTCTAGTGGAGGGTCCGTCAAATGCTTTTCTCTGTGGAGATGTTATTGCTTTGTCTGGACACAATGTTTCACAGTTTAGTATTATTAAGCCTTTATATCTTCATGGACACCAAACCAGACCAAGTTACAGGTCAGACCTGTGGAGAGGCAACCCTGCTCACAGTCAGAATTCCTGTTTTTCTAGGTATTTTTTGAGCTATAAAACCACCTGTAATTAAATAAATGTAAAGTAGAGCTGTTTAATGCCATACTGTGGAACATTCCAGGCAGAGCAATGACGTATCCATAGAAACAAGCAAGAGATGGACCCCCAACCAAAATGTTACTCTGTGCACCTTTTTAATTTGGACTTGAAGCACAGGCACACTTCTTGTCCACTCAGAGTTTCTTTAACACGTGCATTTCTGTTTGTTCACGAGACCTTTTCATGTATCTGATCTCCATTGTGTGTTCATGGTTTCAGGCACTAAGGACCTGGTGGTGAAGGCCCAGGTTTTGGCTGGAGGTCGAGGGAAAGGCACATTTGAGGGAGGACTCAAAGGAGGAGTCAAGATCGTGTACTCGTGAGTTTAACCAATAATGCACTTAACACAGATGGAGACACTTACAATACCAAATGGAGCACAGGGATTCAAACATCCACTCTATTTATCCATAAGAACTTCAATATAGAGTTATAGCTTCATTTTCCTTATAAGAAAAAAAATCTGCCGCTAGTGTGATGGGTAATTATCCATAGCATGACGCATGACTTTGCTGCAGTGACGTTTGCATTTTTTCTAACACATGGGTTTGTTTCATATATTATTTAAACTATCAAAATTCTAACAAAATAATCCACGGGTGTCATAGATTTGAAAGTAGCAGACATACGCACAGTCTGTCATTTTTGCTCGAATTAGGACAACTAACAGTTAATTTAGTAGTTGACTAGTCAGTGATTATTTCTATTGTTATTATTATTTTTTTTAGATAAATAGAATTCAGCAGTCTCCAACCTGTAGTTCGGGTATTGCCAGTAGTTCTCCACCCCCTTCCAAGCAGCTCATCATGGGATTTCTCAATTATACGTATTGTGCTGAAGAACTCTAATGTGATGAATTAAATGCCTGTTACCATTGTCGATGTGTAATTTTCCGGTCTAACTCGATGCATCATTAACTGGATAATAGCTTTTGTTTTATAGGCTCGCTGTGGCTCTTATAATTACTCAGTTTCTTGCGACCGTTAAATGAGTAGCTCTCTGGCATTTTTCTTTTGTAAAGGTAGCTCACCTGAGGAAAAAAAGAGACCCCTGCCAAACAAGAACACGATACCTCCACAAACATGAAATGCATGGGATTCTTGTATTGGTCATTGCTCCTGGACCTGTTAACAATGTTGTGCACTATGAACAGAATCCTGCGTTATAAAGATTAATTCATTAATCAATCATTGCATTTATATAGCGCCTTTCAAGATACCCAAAGTGCTTTACAGAGCATTATTCATTCACTCAACACTCAGTGGTGGTAATTTACTGTTGTACTGACCAGGCCCAGCACTGCTTAGTTTCTGAGATCTGGCGTGATCAGGCTTTGACAAACCGGTATGGCCAAGAGAGATATGTTGCAAATCATAAATCTCAACTATATTTTTCCTCCAGAAGTTATTATTTATTTTATTATTATATGTGTATTATGTTTAATCCATGGATTGTTTGGTCTCCTCACCTTTCGTCTGACTGCCCCCTGTAGGCCAGAGGAGGCGCGGGACATCTCCTCTCAGATGATTGGTCGAAAGCTGTACACGAAGCAGACCGGGGAGGCGGGGCGTATCTGTAACCAGGTGTTCATCTGTGAGCGACGCTACCCACGAAGAGAGTACTACTTCGCCATCACCATGGAGAGGTCCTTCCAGGTCAGTATCACATTTATCACACTATAAAAAGGTCCCAGCGTGTAGGAGTGGGACGAGACGAGACACCTTTCAGTTGTGCAATCCAGTTCACAATTTTGGCCTCACATTTAAATAAAATATGTTTCTGTCATTGTAGCACTGCTTTTGGAACTTAAATTTCTCTCGAGCTGTAACTCTGTAAAGCTTTTTATTTTGAGATTTATATTGAGATTTTGTGGAGCAATCTTGTCCCATCCCTTTTATTCCATTTAATCAGACCATGAATGAAGTGATGCATAATCAGCACCATGGCAATTTACAATTCAACATCCTCAAAATGTCACCTCTAAACAAGAAACTGAAGCCCACGAATAGCAAGTAGTAAATTAATCCCAACATTTCCTCCTCGTATCATAATAACTCTAGATGAAAAATACATGTACACTAATCATATTGCAAGGTATAAAATGCATGTTTTAGAATCGATCTCTAATTCATACAGTATTTGCTTAGAAATACCACCAGATGGCAGTATATAGCTATGACAATCGAAAATGAAAATCCTCTCTTTGAACTCACACAGATTTTATAACAGTGACAAACATTCATACATTTTTTAAATTGATGTAAATGTACCCAAAAGTCTCATTATTTTACACGTTTTTCTGTACGTTTCCATAAGTAGAATCATTTGTTGGTTTTCCCAGTGGCTCCTATGTCAGTGAAATCCATTATAAGACATTAGAGTGATTGTGGTCAATGGGCTGTTACAGTGTTTTGTATAAGGGCTGTGCAGGTGAATAATGATAATTCAACTCGCAAAGGAACATGTGAGAGAACGTTTAGAAAGAGCTGCTGACGTCAAAGATCATCCCAATCAACCGAAACTACACCCCGGCCTAACCCTAATCACCATAACACATTTGTAAAGGTGTTACTTTTGCTTTGTCTTCATGGATGTTATTACTTTGACTAGAATATTTCACAGTATGGCATTAAACATTACTGTCTTAAAGGAGACCAAACCAGGCGAAGTTACAGGTCGGATCTGAGAAGAGGCGATCCTGCTCGCTAGGGATGGACATTCGATTAAATTTTCTTTATCGATCATCGGGAGAATTAATGATCAATTTTTGATTAATCATTAACGTTTTTATATTCAAATTATTATATTACTAATCTGCATAAACTCAACGTTACTTTACTTTACATAAACCATAACCACTATAGAGCCACATCAGCCCATTTGACATTTTACTGCGTTAACTTAAACTTAAAACCGCATGGCTGATTTGCATAAACTAAGCAAAAAAAAGAAAAAAAAAACAGCTCTTGTGCGTTGATGCGGTTCAGCTTCTTTCAGACTAAAGGACACGACTCAGTGAAATATAGGTGTTCTTTCTGTGACAGAGGGATGTTGATGCTGAAGGTGAGTCTGTTCTGTGTGTGTGTCACGTTGGAGGTGCTTCATGTTTTCAGTGCAGGTTTAGCGCAGCTCTTTATGTTGCAGTAACCGGGATACTGCGTTTACATGCACCATGATGAAACCGGGACACTGATGGGCATGTATACACACTCTTTGAGAGGTGAGAGGTGTGGTGCTCTCCAAGAAGGTGCCAGAGCCGAAAACATGGGACTGTGAGGCCACAACTCCAGTGTTTACACTTTCAGACGCAGCTTCGTATCTACGCACAGAAACCTACATTCGGTTTGTCGATTAAAAATGAATGTAATCAATAAAATTCTTAATGATCAATTATCGATTAGTCGACTAATCATGCCCATCCCTACCGCTCACAGTCAGAATGCCTGTTTGTCTAGGTATTTTTGAGCTATAAAACCATATGTAATTGAAGAAAAAGTATAAAGTAGAGCTGCTTAATGTCATACCGTGGAACAATGACATATCCATAGAAACAAGCAGGTGACGAAACCACAACCAAAAATTACACAGTGCACATGTAAATCTGATATATTGCTGAAGAAAATATAGACTATAAATAACAATATTGAAATTTATGCCACTTATGCCACAATAACAATAAAGCAGGATTAAAAAAGAAGTCTAAATGTGTAATAGACAAGCTGCAATAAAGAAACGGCAGGCTGAAACACTTTTAGTAGGTAGTTTGTATCTGTGGTGAGTCATAGAAATTATTTATTCAACCCTCTACAGCTCAAATCTTATTTTAGAGCTGAAATATTACAAAATGTTCCCTGCTACTACAAAGAAAAAGTCCCCACAATTAGGGATGGGACAGTAATCAGTAATATCGTTTATTGTGATAAAAAGAGTAGACGATAACATTTGACATTTAATATAACTGTGATAATTGCCCAAAAAAAATCGATAGAATGTGCTGAAAAAAGCTTAACCAGAAAGTTCTCTGTTATAAATCCAAACAATAGTGATCTAGCAAAGAACGTTATGATTACAGTGGTTTAAGTATGGAACTTTTTTATTATAATAGTAAAATTGTAATTATTCATATCCATAAACATTTTGAACTGTCAGCAACACACAAGGTGCTCTACTTTACGTTTATTCAATAACAAATGGTTTTATAGCTCGAAAACATCTAGAAAAACAGTGGTTCTCATTGTGAGCGGGGTCGCCTCTCCACAGATCTGACCCGTAACTTGGTCTGGTTTGGTCTCCATCAAGGAAGAAAGGTTTAACGCCATACTGTGAAACATTCTGGACAAAGCAATAACTTCCCCATGGAGAAAAGCATTAAAACCAGAAAAGTTACACAGTGCATCTTTAATAATGATCCTGATATTATCATTAATCGTTAACTATTCAGACCGGGGATAATCGTGACACTAAATTTCAATATCGTCCTATGCCTACCCATGATAAATATTGACCCACAAAAGTGATTATATGTTTTGAACTACAATCATTACTATTGGGGATTTGCGTTTGACGTGGCAGTCACATGATTTAATGTTTTGGCGGTCATACTTGAAGTTCAAGATTGGGGTTGATGCGGATGGTGTTATTCAGTTACAATATAATCATGGCGACTTCAAACGGCGCAAACAACATAAAACTGTCTGAAATCACCAGCTCCTTAGATCAGCTGTCATTAGAAAGGTATAAAGCTAATGTCGTCCTCCTGGGTTGTGGAATAAATCCCCATCTAATTCCGATGGATGCTTTGTTAGTTTAATCAGCGTTCGCTCTGTGCTTAACCTCCAGTGTTTGTTTTTTCATGTAACATCGTCTTTCATAGGAAATAAGCGAACGTTTTTCTTTGTGTTTCACTGGCGATGGGCTGTACGTGAATAATGATGGGATGTAATCTGGTGAAAGTGGGTTATCAATTCTGCATACCTACTAGGGTAAAAAAAATACTTCTGGTATATATAATTTCATTTAGTGTAAATCCCTTCTTTCTTTGTGTGGAGATGGTCCCTCACCAGAAATGAAATGTTGACTGCACAGACGACTGTACTCAGTGGGCTCCATCCCTCTTTTTATGTCCGCTCTTCACATTTTTCTGCGATCTTTATCAGCTGGAATCCGATAGAAAGATATTTTGGCCTCCTCCTTTGCAGATTGACTCCGGCCAGAACATCCAATAGTAACACAGGTCAAAACCATTGTTATTCAATTCAAATTTTATCACACACAAATACTACAGATTGGTCCCGATGGATAGTTTGACCTCCAGTATGGCTGCATAAACACCAGGTCATGTGGTTTTGTGATGTAGATGCAAAACCTTAATATTGACTAACTACACCTCCACCAACAACTTTAAAATGTATTGGTTTAACTCTGGCTGTGCACAACAACAAAAATATATAAAAGGGACTGTCAGTTTCTTATCAAATCATGTTTTGAATTTAATCCTTGTTCTTGTCGTTTTGGTTTTGCATGTGACAGACTTTTTTAAGATTCTCTACTTTTGATTTAAATTGGTGGGATGATACCTGATTTAAATATAAATGATAGTTTTACTCAAATCAAGAAGTAATTCGTGAAGAAAAGTTGAAAAAATATATTGCAGAATTACAGGAAAAAGAGTTCTAAACATCACGCTAAGGAGAATTCTACTCAAATGTTTGTCTCACGCAAGAAACACATTTTTCTTATACTTTCAACTCAATTTCAACAAAATAAAAGTGTTTCTCATGTTTTTATTTGTTAAATAATAATTTCTGTGTGCATGAAAGAAGTTTTGGTCCAGTGGTATGTCAGGTTAGTTATAGAATTCCCTAGTGTGATGCAAAATCTTTTATATACTGGTCTTAATTAGGTGTGTTTAAGTTAAATGAATAGTCCAATATAGTCCATAATAGTCCAGAATAGTCATAATAGTCCATAGGGATGTAACAATAACAGAAATATCGTGATAGTGTATCATCAAAGTTCTCACAATAATATCATGGTCCATCACAGTATATCGAATTACAAGTCTCTTTGTTTAAATTATGGTGCAGTGATGTTGCAGCAGTAGCTAAAAAAAGACAGAGGGAACTACATAGGTCATGATCCTTTGCTCCATTTCATTGTAGACTACAAGAAGAAATAACATTTCTAAGCACTTTTAAGTCTTAGTTCTTTGGATTAAGTCTGGTCAAGGCATTTTAAGAGGAAAAAGTAGCATATTAGCCTCCTCAAAATATCACGATAAATATCGTACTGTGAGATATTTATGATATTTTCACGATATCTCAATAAATATTGAACTGTGAAGTTCATACTGTGATGATATCATATCATTATACCTCTAATAGTCCATAAAAGTCCAAAAGGTCTTAAACACTTTGTTGTTGTTGTAACCGTTGATGGTTTGTCGTTAATGTAACTGCTTTTGGACGTTGGTTACGATGACGATAAGTATATCCAAATCCAGATCCACTTTATTTATATAGCGCATTTTACAAACAAATCAGTTTCCATAGTGCTGCACAGAGATCATAAAATGAAGACAAGAAAAAGGTAAATTGCTTTATACATCAAGGTTTCAATTGTCAGTGACAGTTCAGTTTGGAGTTGCTGAGTTGACTGCTGATGTTTTGTTGTTGTCTTTGGTTATTGTGTTCAACAAATGAAGAAATTTGGCATATTTCCTCACACCAGAATGCTAACGTGTTATAAGCAGATCTTGGGGTCAAAATAAGTCTGCTGTGTGCTCTCTGCAGTTTTAATGAGAATTCTGTGGTTACTGGTTAAAGGTGAACTACGTAACTTTTCAGGTGGAATGTCTGTCACCTGCTCTACCTGGAATGTTCCACCATATGACATTAAACAGCTCTACTTTACATTTGTGGTTTTGTAGCTCAAAATGTACCTAGAAAAACAGGTATTCTGATTGTGATTGTGAGTGTGGTCCCCTCAACAGATCTGACCTGTAACTTGGTCTGGTTTGAGCTCCATGAACAAAACGGCTTTAATATCAAACTGTGAAACATTTCAGATAAAGCAATAACATCTCCATGTAGAAAAGCATCTGACAGACCCTCCACCAGAAAAGTTACACAGTGCACCTTTAAGTTGAGTAAATATGAAAGTTTTTGTTTCATGTTTTTCTAATTGTTACTTAGTTCAGTGGGATGATACGTGTTGTAAATATGTTTATAAATGCATAAAATTCCCTTTAAAATGCAGGGATAATTTACGCAGAGGGAAGCATATTTGATTGTTTAAACGTTAATAAAATAAAAGTCTATTTTTATTCACTTAATTGCCCTTGTTGCTAGGTAAGTTATGGAATTACCTCTCTGTATGTCATATCTGATGCCTGTATCCAACCAGGAAGTAAAATTCTTCTTCAATATAAATACAAGAACTGTAAAATAAAATAAATAAATAAAAAAACTAGGTAAGTTGTAGTAAATCTAATGGTGTTCTGTTTTAGTGAAATGCGTAGCCCAAACTGTCAAATGCCCTTTAACCCCTCGTGTTTGCTGGTGTATGCAGGGTCCTGTGTTGATCGGCAGCTCTCAGGGCGGAGTGAACATCGAAGACGTCGCAGCCGAAAACCCCGATGCCATCGTGAAAGAACCAATCGACATCGTGGAGGGAATCAAGATGGAGCAAGCCGTGCGGGTACGCCAGTCACAGTATTTACTATAAAAGTCTGATATAACTGTAGTATTTTGAGGAAAAGTTAGACCTTATGCCCATTAACCAGCTAAGGAAGAGGGATGCTTTTCTAGTCAAATAGTAACTGGTGTTTTTCAGATTCTAAAATATGATGATGTCCTACTCCCAGATGGGGGCTGGAGACAGTTTTCTCTGTTGATTACATTGTACTTTGCCACAAAAATATCTAAAACATAAATTCACAAATGCTAAACCAGATCATTTATATTCCTAATATACAACTTGATGTACAGTAATGCAACAACTAAGGGAGTGTGATGTAACCCACATTATTCCGTTGCAGCCAAACAAAGCTTATTGAGGATACGTTTACACTGAAACGAATCACCGTATCACTGTATCAGCGTATCAGAAACGATCTGTGTCCAGACACATCATTTCTGTGTCCGCAAGTCTTCCCTATCCACACAGCTTTGAGCATATTTGTTTACGTTTTACAGAAACTAAACTTAAAACCACATGGCTAATTTGCACAAACTAAGCTAAAAATAAACAGCTTACTATTGTGCGCTGATGCGGTTCAGCTTCTGTCGGACTAAAGGACATGACTTATGGAATATGAGTGTTCTTTCTGTGACAGAAGCACAGAACAGACTCACCATCAGCAGAACACCCCTCTATCACGTTGGAGATGGTTCATGTTAAACTTTTCAGAGATTATACGTCTGCAGGTCGTACATAGATCGTATATATGAATGGACATATATTCTAGCCTCTTAGTGTTTTGGCGGTGAATTACTTCGCGGCACATAGACCTACATCAGAGCCTATCAGTGTTTTCAGGCGTCCAGAATGCTGGATCAGATCTGTACTCAGATGAATTCATGGGAGTTGGCAGCACCAGATCGTTCCGTCTCTGGAGCCATTTTCAATTGGATTTGTGTGAACAAACACTGCATCCGCAACGACAACGACTCGAATATGTACTAGTGTGGATGGGGCTTGAGGCTAGCAGTTACATGAGCAAATTTTGAGTTCCATATTTGGAGTGCGAGTATCATAGCGAATCCAGAACGAGGCTCTTTGTCATTTTTTAGTTTTAAATAAATGAAAATGAAAACAATCATGACTGACTTTCCATTTTCATTTATTTAAATACAAAAAAATGACAAAGACTCATGACTGACTTTCAACACTGTTTTGCAGCAGGTTCTGGTGGAGTGTTGAAAAATGTTATTTCCATCTTTGTGTTTCCATATTACAACAATAACTCTGATATTATAGATAGAGTGTTGTTATTAAAGCCACAGGACCCGTCTGAGCCTGTCATACTGGTTTATTCCTGTAGGTGGCACAGAAGATGGGCTTCCCCAAGGCTCTGGTTAACGAAGCTGCAGAAAACATGATCAAACTGTACAACCTGTTCATCAAATACGACGCTTCCATGGTGGAGATCAACCCTATGGTGGAGGACTCTTCTGGCATCGGTAACACTCATGACTACATAAAACAACATGCTTTAATGGGCCTATATGACACTGTTTTCTGATCTGTGCTATAATGTTGCTCATCCAAAACATACATGTTTCATTCACATATGTTAAACACACAAATCCTGCATATTTAGTCTGAGTACTTCTTTTTAACAAAACACTACACACTAACACTATATTTTCAGCCTGGGAATTACCAGTCTCTACTGAACAAAAGATAAAAAGCAAATACTAACTTGAAAACTACCACTTCATGACATCACAAGGTGGAAAGGAGCATTTTGCTTTGGAGATGTAGACAAATTTATAATAAAGGGTTACTTAAACGTGTGAATGAAACAAAACACAATTCCAGGTATGTTTTTGATGAGGGAACAACAGTATCACTTGGGTAGAAGAGTAGATTTTGCATAATATAGGACATTTAAAGAGAGGTGACTCGGCTCACAGTAACAATTCGTGTTTTTAAATAAAATGTTGAGCTGTTAAATCAACTGCAAATAAACAGTACAATACAGAGTTTCAAGTGAGGCAACCACATTTCAGATAGAGCTGCCAAACTGGGCACTACCTGGAGGACTAAAGGGGTGAGTGAGTGGGGAAAGTGAGGAAGGATGAGGGTCTGGGTCTGGAGATGTAAGTAACAGTGTGATTGGACTAAGAGGTATCCACACTTCAGGTATTTGTAGAAACACTGGGCAGTATTGATTGTATTAGCTGCTACCTTGGCCAGGAGTGTCTTGAAAAATAGATTCTGTATCTCAAAGGGACCTCCTGGTTAAGTACAGATAAATAAATAGGGTCTGCTCTGTGTGATGTCACCAAGTACATAAAAATGGAAGTGGCCCCTGGAGGCAGGAAGCTGGAAAGCTGCAAATTTACCTAACTTGAAATTGCTGAAAAACTGCAGAAACAGTAGACAATCTTATTAAAACGCCATGTACACAGTTTAGTAATGGAAAAAGCTCATTTTGTGTTTAGTTCCAAGGAAAGCAATAACATTTGCATTGAGTTTAGCCATGGTAATTTGATTACGACTATTAAGCGGATTTAAAATGAATACACCATACCCTTTTGTAATGTAATTTTCTCTTTCTGTTTCTTCTCTGTCTTCTCATTTCTCCTTTTCATTATTTCACTTCCTCTTTCCCCCCTTCCCTCATCTCTCTGCTTCCCCTCCATCTCTCCTCCCCATTCCACCCTCTCTCTCTCTCCTCTCCTCCGCAGTGATGTGCATGGACGCCAAGATAAACTTTGACTCGAACGCGGCGTACCGTCAGGACAAAGTGTTTGCGATGAGGGACTGGAGCCAGGAGGACCCCCGCGACCGACAGGCGGCCAAGGCAGACCTCAACTACATCGGGCTGGACGGGACCATCGGCTGCCTAGGTCTGGAGGAGAGAGGAGGGACAGAGGGAGGGGTAGTGGAGAGGGAGAAAGTGGGAAAAGTAGCAGTAGCTGAAAGTGAAAGAAGACGGAGGGCTAGAGAGAGAGAGAGGGAGAGATGAGATGGTGGAGGCTGGAGGGAGAAGAGGAGACGGACAGGCAGCCAAGGCAGGCCTCAACTACACTGGGCTGGACGAGACCTTTGGCTGCTTAGGTCTGGAGGAGAGAAGGAAGAGGAGGGAAGGACGGAGGAACCATTTTAATTGTTCCAAAACACTACATTATAATTGAGATTCTCTTGTAACAGAAATATTTACATAGAGGTAAAAGTTTTAAAAATTGCATCCAAATAAGTAATTGGAGAGAGTAATTGGCCAACCTGCTGCTAAAATAATAGATGCAAACTTTTTTTCTGGGAACCCATATTTTAAAAGTCACAAACCTTCACTACCCAAGTCAATAGACATTATTCATAAACTAAAAATAAAGGTAAATTTGACCATTATTCAACATTTATGAGGATATTTTATTGTTGACTGTGTGATCGTGTTAGTATTACTCAAGCTTTAAACAATGAAGCAGCAATTAAAACATCCATAAATCGCCTATTTGGATATTCAATTTAGCCCATTTCTTTTTCTTTTCGCATGCAATTCAACCAGCAATACTGGAACAAAATAGTCAATAAAATAATTACAAAAATATTAGAAATTACACAAAACATGTCTTAACATTTCTAATGAGATAGGTGGACCTGTCTGTGTTTTTGTAGTGCATTCCAGTCCAGGTGCAGGAGGAGAGCACAACATGCATATCAGACGTAGCATTCAATCTGTTTATGTGCTTTGTTTTCATTTTTGTGAGCACAGAAAATCCCTGTTCATACATATATGTAGTAGTGAAAGGAATACGGAGAGAAACACCCGTTCAGGGCAGGCAGAAAGGATTCGCTGACTCACTCGCTTTCTCATGTGTCAGAACTGTATATTGCAAACTGACATGCAGATCAAGACAAGGTGACCCCAAAAAAAACTCTCTTGCGACCCACCTGAGTGTCACGACCCAGTCTTTGGGAAACAGTGCTGTAGTGTGGAGATAACTGCACAAAACATGATGAAAATGTTCTGTTATAGGTTTTAGATTAAAATAGGCTGTGGGTAAGTTTTTAGTAAATTTAAATTACATCATTTGGAGAAAATCATCCATCATCAGCCTCATACAGTATAGTGGTCCAAAAATATCAGCAGAATTTATTGGCCATCGGTTGATCTGGATTCTAAACCATCTGTATCAGCATCGGCCATGAAAAAAAAAATCAGTTGATCACTACTAGAAAATCTGCAGTTAAGAAGCTGGCCTTTGTGATACTAAAATATTTTCATCATCGTTTGAATTATTTTTTGTCGAGCTTCTTGAAAAGCAGCCTGTCGCCTTCCTAGTTAAACCATTTTCCAATTATGATAAATTATTTTCTCAGTGAATTCAGAATACACCATGTTATTAGGGGAATATGCTCCTGAAACTCTCGTTAATGTGCGATGTTTTAACTTTAAGTGCGATGAAGTTGGTTAGTTAATGAAAGGGCAGAGGAACACCAGGGAGTAATTTAACAGAGGTGACAAATGAGTTCAGGTTTCAGTGAAAGGTGGAAGTTGTGGTTATTTAAGGTGGTCTCTAGACTTCATTTCCCCTCAGGAGTCTCCAAGTGAACTTTTTAAACCAGTCTAATGTTGTCCTCTGCTCCATCTGACCCTCTCTTCTTCTCTGCTCCACTGAGCCCAGAGAAACCCAATACAATATTTTCAAAAACCTTATCACCACAATACATTGCGCAATGCATACTGGGAAGGATTTTCTGAAAAAGTGAACATCAAACCGCCATGTTTGTTTTCCCAGTGGGATGCGTCTATTGACAAAGCCGATCTTTTCAAGTCTTTTGAACCATATTGCTTTTGTTTCTGGTTCTGATATTGTCATATTTTAGTTTTGGGATTCGGACATCGTAATTGTGTGGTTGTTGAATCTCCTAACAGCGGAAAACGGCTTGAGAAATTTGTTTGCGAATTCCATAAATGCAAAAGGGAATCAGATCTGTGTAACTGCAAACCTCTGTTCAAACTGTTTCCCATCCCAACGGAATTGAAAAATAATGAACGGTGAAGGCGATGGGCAGGATTGATCCACAGGAAGGACCAAAAAAGGAAACCTTTGTCTGCCTAAATCATCCAGAGTTTGCACCGAACACTTTGTATGTGGAGCGCCATCAAAGCAGGATCCCGTTTGTTAAGTGAGAGGTACAGAAGACAGACAGACAGAGCTCGCACTTTCTTGTTCTTGTGGTTTTACAGCAACATCACGTCTTGGTTGCTTTGCAGTGGAAGGTGTTTCTTGGTGAACAGCTGGTGCCTTTCACTTTGGTGTTGACGTTTTAAATTCAGAACCAAGGAGGAGCGAGGGATCGGGATTTTGCTTTGATGGCGCTCCACATACAAAATGTTTGGTGCAAACTCTGGATGATTTAGGCAGACAAAGGTTTCCTTTTCATCCTTCTCTTGAATCAATCCTGCCCATCGCCTTCGCCTTTCAGTATTTTTCAATTCTGTTGGGAAGGGAAACAGTTTGAACAGAGGTTTGCAGTCACACAGATCTGATTCCCTTTTGCATCTATGGAGTTCGCAAACACATTTCTCAAGCCATTTTCCGTTGTTAGGACATTCAACAACCACACAATTACAATGTCTGAATCCCAAAACTAAAATATGACAATATCAGAACCAGAAACAAAAACGATATGGTTCAAAAGACTTGAAAAGATCAGCTTTGTCAATAGACACATCCTACTGGGAAAATAAACATGGAGGTTTGATGCTCACTTTTTTGGAAAATCCTTCCCAGTATGAACTGCACAATGACCGGAAGTCTGAGATTCTTGATGCATCTATTGAATGAGTTAAAAAAAACACTAAGATGGTTGTAGTTTTTGTATGGTGTTAATAGTTCTTGTTTGTGTTGCAGTGAATGGGGCAGGTCTTGCTATGGCGACTATGGACATTATAAAGCTCCATGGCGGAACCCCGGCCAACTTTCTGGACGTGGGGGGCGGAGCTACAGCACATCAGGTGACCGAGGCATTCAAACTCATCACCTCCGACAGAAAGGTGAGACAATGGAGCGAGAATTCAAATGTAAGGTTTGAATTGTCACCCTTTATTCAAATGTTTGATTGTTCTTGTTCCAGGTTCAGGCGATTCTGGTGAATATTTTCGGAGGCATCATGAGGTGTGATGTCATCGCTCAGGGCATCATCATGGCTGTGAGAGACCTGGACCTGAAGATCCCCATTGTAGTACGGTTACAAGGTACAGCCTAACGCAGTATGGTCTATTGTAGTACTGATACAAGGTCCTATAGCCCTGGAGCTGGCTAGTTTCACTTCTCTCAAAACTGTGGAGCTGCACTTCCTGCTCCATTCCTTGTGTATGGGGAATTAGCAGAGTCATGCTAAAATAAATCTGTAATTATATATTAGTCAGAGGACAGGTGGTTACAGATACATAATCACAGACAGTGTGTTCAGACCTTTGCTACGATCTAAACACGTCACCGGAGGAAGCTTCTGTGTTCAGAAAAGTAGGTCTTCGTGTCTTGAAACTCGTGCTAACTGAAATAAAAATTAGTGATATTAAAATAACGCCATGATCTGAATGATCTTGCACAGAAAAACAATGGACTCGTCATTAGATATATATATATAAAGTTGTTTTGTGTTCTGTTTTGCTTTATGTTAGGTTAACATCAGCTTGTAGACACAAACACCTACTTTTATACACACAGAAGCTTCCTGAGGTGAAGTATTTACATCAATGTAAAGATCTTAACACTGTCTGTGATTATCCATGTGTGACTTGCTGTTCTCTGTTTGATATTTAAATATAGATTTATTTTAGCACGACTCATCTAATTCCAATACACAATAAATGGAGCGGAAAGTGCAGATCTGCAGTTTTTAAGAGAAGCAGAAGTAACCAGGCGGCTCCATGAATTGGGACTATTATAGTACTGTTAAAAAGTACAACCTATCATAGTACGGCTACAAGGTACAGCCTGTACATGTGCTTTTGTGTGTGCCGAGTTTTCAACAGGTGCAATCCATAGACTGTTTAGAGAAGTGGACTAAGGGCGTGTGACATCACCTACAACATTTGCTCCAGCCAAATGAAGCTCACATAAGCTAGCAGTTATAGGAGCAAATTGGGAGTCAAATTCCATATTAGAAATAGGAATTTATTAACAGACAAAATAGCAAAATAAAAACAAAACAAAATGTATTTTATAAAATCTGAGAACAGGAACCGACATTTCATCTTGAAAGTCAAGTTATAGTAACAACAGAACAGAGAACAACAGACTGAACAGGCGTTAATATGTTAATGTAACATATTAAGAGTTATTCACATAATTATAGTATAAACAACAGAACATAAGTTTACCAAACTCATGATCTCACTCCAAATCACTAAATCCATTGAATCCTTCATCCTTGGTGTCACTTCTGCACGACCTCCAGAGATAAACCATCCATGAGGTAAATGGAGCGCTGCTTCCTCTTCTGTGTAGCTGTCGTCAGACTCAGCATCAGTTCCAGGTAGAATTATTCCGGCTTTTCTGAATCCTGACAGGATGGTTTCAGTTGTCATTGAAGTTTAGGCTTTGTCGATTCATCCAGTGACGGTTACTGTGAAGCTGTGTTCTCCATCCCTGCTTTCAGCTAGTGCCTCACAAGTTTCTGGCTTACTCCAAACTTTCTTTCTGCTGCTTGATTACCGATTTCGGCTGCATATTTCACTATTTGCAGCAAGACAACGGCTTTTTCTACAGGAGGCATGCGCAGTAGAGTGAGAAGTGACAGAGGTACAGGAGTAATAGTAGCAGCAGATACTGACACACAAGCCTAGAGCCTCTCACGGCTGTCAATCTGAAAATTTTAATATATAAGTTGCACCGGAGTATAAGTCGCAGGAAACACCCAAACCATGGAAAAAAGTGCCACTTATAGTCCGAAAAATACAGTACATCAGTTGGAGCCAGGGTCAGTAGGAGCCAGAAGCGTCCCCATGTTCACATCCAGCAAGCTGTTTGTTATATCCGTTTATACAGTATATGGTGAAGTCTGATCTGTCATGATTTCAAATGGAGGGCAAGGATCTAGAAAACTCTCTGAAATTCTCTGTCTAATTCTTTAAATCTTTCAGTTCACCACCAAGTTTTAATCCAAGTCCCAGACACACTGTGTGACCACATGTGCAATACATTAGAACAGATAAAAATACAGATTTTAAAAATACACTCCTGTAATGTATCGAGTCTCGTGTGCAGTAGATTAATGTGGTGGTTTTTTGGGCACGCGTCGCTGCTGCTCTGGTTGTGGCTGGTTTGTTTGTGTTGGATCTTAAATAAAGCTGGCACCTTCTGTTTGTCCTCAGGGAAAGTCTCCTCCTCCTCCTCCTCTTCCTCCTCTTTCACAGATGAACAGTGCTGCTGAAACTGGGACATTTACACTCGCATAAAGATACAATGAGACTCACCGTATTTCACAACAACTCAAATTAAAAATGTATTTATGCAATGTTATGTGAAAACAGTTCCCCAAATCCTTAATTATTGTAGATTTCACAGCCCATTCTAGTTTGTTATACACGGTAAAGGTGTCTGTGTAACCTTACTGGAGGAGGGTTCGCCATTTAGTTGTTGCCATGGAGACTGTATTGAACATTACACTATATGGCATCAAAATTATCCCCCCGTTCAAATCCGATATTTACTGATAGACCAATATTCTTATTTCTATATTTTTGTATTTTTTAATCTGTAACTTGTGTGTTTTGTGTTGTAGGAACCCGAGTGGACGATGCCAAAGCTCTGATCGCTGCCAGTCCCCTGAAGATCCTGGCCTGCGACGACCTCGACGAAGCTGCTAAAATGGTACGAGCCTCTGAACCCAGGTCCTAAACCAGGACTGCATCAGCGAGTACTCAGACCAAACCGCAGATCCGATACCGATACTGATGCCACTCATAATGAAGTTATTTGTGTTAACTTTTTGATACCTTCATTTTCCTTCGTTCAGTTTATTGTTATTATTTAGGCTTTGGTGTGGACACTGAACATGTTAAAAAAACTAATTAACTTTTTTCAAGCGTCACTGTTGTTTTTATCCACTTTGTCATAGAAAGTGACAAAGTACAAAAAGGGAAAGTGCTTAAATCGGCACAATTCATCAAGATCATTAGACACTTGACTAATACTTTAGTCCTCAAAATCTCATTTATTCTTGTGGATTTATAGAAGTAGCTTTTTAGAAGATTTTTGCACCCATACTAAAACAAAATCACATAGCCCTAGTCTACTTCTTCACACTAAGTGGTATCGGACTGGTATCGGATTCTAAATGACTCTTCGTGGGATTTGTATATTTTGAGATAGATTTTTTATATATATTTTTTTATAACGTTTTGAAATTGTTAAATAATTGTCAAGGTTCATAGGCATTTCTCCTAGACATGGCTAATCATTGTATTAGATTTTTATGGGACAACAGCAGAAAGGAGACGAGAGTGTTGATATACACTACTGGTCAAAAGTTTTAGAACACCACACTGATGTAACAACAACTGAAATATCGTGAAAGTTCTCAAAATAATATTGTGGACCATCACAATATATCGAATTACAAGTCTCTTTGCTTAAATTAAGACTTATGGTGCAACAATAGACACAGGGAACTACATAGACCATGATCCTTTGCTCTATTTCAGTGCAGACTACATAAAGAAATAACAATTAAGCACTTTAAAGTCTTAGTTCTTTGGATTAAGTCTTGTCAAGGCATTTTAAGAGGAAAAAGTAGCATGTTTACAGTTTTAGCTGTTTAGCCTCCACAAAATATCACAATAATATCGTACCATGAGTTGTATATCCTGAAAATATCATACCAAGAGATTTGGATATTGTTACATCTCAAATCGTGAGCCTCTCCACCATATCATGAGTTTTCCACGATATCGCAATAAATATCGTACCGTGAGGTTCATTCCATGACGATATTGTTACACTCCTATACTTTTGATTCATCAATGTAGACATCTTTGGCAGATATAACAGTTGAACACACTCATTGCTCGTTCTTTTTACAATAGAAATCAAATATTGTTCAGAAAGTTCTTCCAAGTCTGTTGCAGAAGTTTCCATAAATGTGTGGAACTTGTAGGTTGCCTCACTCTTCTGTCCAGTTCATCCCAAACCAGCTCCATGGGGTTTAAGTCTGGACACTGTGTTGCTGCTGGACACTCCATGTTTTCAAACTTTACCATCTTGTTCTTTTTTTCCTGAGGTAGTTTTGGCAGAGCTTGGATTTGTGTTTTGTTCTTTTATCTTTTTTTTGTTTTTGTTTTAAACCTGTCTGTTCAGTTCTTACCTTTGTACCATTTCAAGCTCTTCATTGGACTTGCACAACTTGAACTGCAATAAATAACGGCAAAAATAAGAGTGTTCTAAAACTTTTGAGTGTATATGTTGCTTAATCTGTCTTTATATAATTACATTGATTCGTAGTACTTTTTTCTCCATGAATAGTAGTTTTTGCATCGTGTGAGCACAGTTTTGGTCAGATACAGAGACATTTAATAGATTTGAGAGTTTTTGCCACAGCCTGATGTGAACTCTAACTCCCGTTTCCGTCTGTGCAGGTTGTGAAACTTTCCGAAATCGTATCGTTGGCGAAGGAAGCTCAAGTCGACATCACCTTCCAGCTGCCCATTTAAAACCACTCCGCCGGTCTCCTCCGCCACTGTACCTGCCTCACCTGTCGCACCTGTCGCACCTGCCGCGCCTGCCCTGTCTCCCTGCCTACAGAACAGGGCCTATGGACAGAAAAAACACGAGCCCGTCACAGCTTTACAGTATCAGGTGGTAGAACCGTCTCCAAATCACCGCAGATGGTTGCAAAAAATATACCGGAGTTAAAATGACTTGAAATTTCAGCAGTACTTTAAAAATAACTACAACTTAATTAGCCAAATTAATTCATAGTTTATTAAATGATTCAGACTTCAGATTTACTTAAGGCGTTAGGGTTGGGGTATTACCACTTACTAAACCTGAATCATTCTTAATAAGCTACATTAATACGTTATGATTTTTGTTCATAATTTATTAAAGGTGCATTGTGTAACTTTTCTGTTGGAGGATCCATCAAATGATTTTCTCCATGGTGATGTTATTGCTTTGTCTAGAATGTTTCACAATATGGTATTAAACCTTTTTACCTTCATCGAGAGCAAACCAGACCAAGTTACAGGTCAGATCTGCGGAGAGGCGACCCCGCTCACAGTCAAAACGCCGTTTTTTCCCAAGTATTTTTCAGTTATAAAACCACCCGTGATTGAATAAATGTAAAGTCGAGCTGTTTAATGTCACACTGTGGAACATTCATCTTCACAGAGACGAGCAGGAGACAGACCCCCAACCAAAAAGTTACACAGTGCACCTTTAAGGCTAATTAAAGTGTAGTTACAGTGTTACGGAAATTTTTTAATCTTGTTTTTGAGTAGTTTTAACACGTCAGATTACTTCACTTATGGACCTAAATAATCATTAAACTTATTTTTAGGCATTTCAACTGTAGATACTTTTCTTCAAATATTCACAAATTTGGACCAGTGGATTAAAATTTCCATCAATGTGTTATTTTCGATTCAAATGTGAACAAAAATGTATTGAAACTGTAATTTTAAAACATTTACTGGACTATAGCCCTGAAAATAAATAATTCAAAATGTGTGAAAACGACTCAAAAAAACAAATCTGATACATTCAAGTCATTTTAAGTCATCGCGTCGGTCCTTTTTTTTTTTACAGTGTAGCGTTTCTCCTTTGTCTTTCAACGTCTCAACTCAAAAGTATTGAGTAAAACGCACAATCTCTTTATTTAAGTAACTCCTTTTTCACCAGTACACTCGTAACAAAAGCCCGTTTCAGTGATTGTACTTCCAACATATAAACCCATGTGTATGTTATTTTAATGTCATGTCAATAATAGGGATTTAAAGAATAAAATGTTTAGCCATTTTTGTCTTGGTCTACAAAGTTAATTATCGTCCAGAGTAATACAGATTTCCTTTTCATGTTATTGTAATAAGTTGAAATGACTTGAATTCAGAATATTACACTTAAAGGTCCTATATTGCACTAAACTGACTTAAGCCATGTTATAATGTTCATCTCATCAAAAACATACTTGGAGTTGTTTTGTTTTATTCACACATTTTGGAGTTATCCTGCTTTTATCTTTGAATATTTTTGTTTTAATGGGACAATTTGGAATTTTGGACATAGGGCCTCATTTCCTAGTGAGCCAAAATGTTGGAGGCATGTGGAAACACTTTTTAAAATATTCCATCCAGTCCTTGTATTTGCAGAGGTCGCTGGTGCTAGGCTAGTGCATGTCAATGGCCATAGTTAGCCTGCCACTAAAAACAGTCTTACCCACTCCACAAAATACCCGAAGCAAATCTATTATTACACCAGACTGTCGAGATAAATGTCTGTGTCGATAGAATAATGTTTGAATAAAACTAACCTTGCATCGCATGAATCGTTGCATGTTGAGGGACTATTTTCTCATATATCAGTCCGCCGTTGCTAAGCTTTCTATCAGGAAGTACCAGGGCTCGCTCATAAGCCTCCAACCCCATCAAAAAACGACTGCGCGCCCCACAATCCAGAGCGCCCTGTACATGAATCCACTCGGGTGTCCTAACACGACTTCAGTAAACTACAAAGCCGCACCACCCGCAGTGCACGCAAACACACACGGAGAAGACAGCGACCGCGTGGCAACAAACACCCACAGCCGACGAGGAACAGAACGGAGGAACAAACCGAAAAAGCGAGTCCAATGTGCCACATCTAGACACAACTGAACAACTGAGTCACTGCGAACACGCTGACAATCCAGCGGTCCCAGACAGCACCCTCCCTACACACCACAACTGAACAAAGCCCAGAGTCACTGTGAACGCACCAAACAAAGTCCCACTCACCCATCCAACTGTTGTGTTTCCTTTAAAGTCCGGTGCGGTTTATTTGTGAAAATGTTCGAAAGTAGAACATTCTATGACAGTGCGTCTTATAATCCAGAACGCCCTATAGTGTGGAAAATACAGTACAACTCGCTGCTGCTGCTCAGACATAAATCCTTCAAATGCAAGGTTAATTTTCTTTCAAAAATGATTATATCAACACATCGAAACTCTGGCATAATAATAGATTTTCTTCGGGTGTTTTGTGGAGTGGGTAAGACTGTTTTTTGTGTCAGGCTAACTATGGCCATTGACATGCACTAGCCTAGCACCAGCGACCTCTGTGAATACAAGGACTGGATGGAATATTTAAAAAAGTGTCTCCACACGTCTTCAACACTCTGGCTCCTATGTCCAAAATTCCAAACTGTCCCTTTAACTTCTGTACAGTTGAGAAAGTCTCCAGAATTTGCTTGTTTACCGAGGAGTGAAGCAGTTTCAGTGAGGGTAAAAAAAAATAGCTGTAACTTCAAATCCAGTGTGGAAATTATTAAAATAATTCTAGTGAAGGTGTATGGAGTTTAAAAACACAGTGGAGCGCTTCCAGTATTACCACTTAATGAATCACAAGGAGGAACGGAGTGTTTTCAGTTTGAGAGAAGCCTAAATCTGCAGGTTTTTGTGTTAAACGTGTCTGAACCAACTCCATGTAGGTTTGTGATGAAGAAACATTATAAATAGATCAGAAAACTTGGATGATTTGACTAAGATTGAAAATTGTATGCAAAATTCTGTGCTTCTTGTATATTGCATTATCAAAAATCATAAATTTCTTCCCCAACTGGCAGAAAATTAAGCTTGAAATGACAAAGACACATTTTGGTTTTAGAAAAGTCTGAATTCATCAAAACTTCAAAGATAATATTCTGAATTCTTTTTAACCACACCTTCAAAATCTCTCCTCTGTGATGTAGTTTGTCCCATTTATTTTGCTTAAGAAGCGAGACTGGAGCAAGTTTAGCCATATGTTTTTTTGTCTTGCTTTTATTTTGACAGGTTTTCTGACATGAATCTTGTTACTTCAAATTGTCAAAATATTCGAAATGTTTATGGCTTACTTAACTTTGGCAGCTAAGGGTAATGGTTTGTGGTTTGGAGCAGCAGACAAGTGACCAGGACTGGACTAAACTAGGTCTGGACTAGGACTTGACCAGGATTTGGATCAGGTCTCAACTGGATCTTTATTTCTTTCAGGGCAAATGTGTGTTCTGCTGAAGTAACCAGGTCTAAATCAGATCCAGACCAGGTCTAAATCAGGTCCTCATAGAGTCTTCCCTCCTTTTGGTGCAAATGTGTATTCTGCAAAATAAACCAGGACTAGATCAGGTCTGGAATATGTCTGAACCGGGTCTGAACCAGGTCTAAACCAGGTCTGGAATAGGTCTAAACTAGGTCTAAGCCAAGTCTAAACTAGGTCTAAGCCAAGTCTAAACTAGGTCTAAGCCAAGTCTAAACTAGGTCTAAGCCAAGTCTAAACTAGGTCTAAGCCAAGTCTAAACTAGGTCTAAGCCAAGTCTAAAGCAGGTCTAAGCCAAGTCTAAACCAGGACTAAATTAGAACTAAGCCGGGTCTAAACTGGGTCTGGACTCTGACTGGATCGGGACTAAAGCAGGTCTTCACTCCTCTCAGTTCTATTGTGTATTCTGTTGAAGAAACCAGGACTGGATCAGGTCTAGAACAGGTCTAAATCAGGTCTAAACCAGGTCTGAAATAGGTCTAAACCGGGTGTTAATCAGGTCTAAACCAAGTTTAAACCAGGTCTAAATCAGATCTAAACCAGGTCTAAGCCAAGTCTAAACTAGGTCTAAACCAAGTCTAAAGCAGCTCTAAACCAGGACTAAAACAGAACTAAGTCGGGTCTAAACCGGGTCTGGACTCTGACTGGATCGGGACTAAAACAGATCTTCACTTCTCTCAGTTCCACTGTGTATTCTGTTGAAGAAACCAGGACTGGATCAGGACTAGAACAGGTCTAAACTAGGTCTAAACTAGGTCTAAACCATGTCTTTGCTCCTTTCACAGCAAATGTGTTTCCCTATGAAAAAACAAAACAGGTCTGGACCAGGGACTAGGACCAGGGACTAGGACCAGGGACTGGACTGGGGACTAGACCAAAACCAAACCAGATCTTCTTTTCTCTCAGTGCAAATATGGGCCCAGGCAGAATATGACTAACCTGTCTGCTCCTCCAAACTTCAAATCCTCTGCAAATCCTCCTTTCCTCTCCTCTCCCAAACACATCCGTTTAAAAACCTTAACTTCTAAAAGTGAAAAGTCGTATTTCTAAATTGCCTCCCGGCTACGTTTCCTTCGATAACGATCTGCAAGTTTTCAGACAGATTATTTTGTGCTTGTTAAGTCGTCACGCTCAAAATTCAGATAAAGTTTTCCTTCAAATCCTCCAAAAACTGCCTCCTGGTTTAAATCCTTATTTTCCCCCCATTTCGGAACATTTGTGCATTCATAACTGAGCAAATTTTACACAGACAATATTCGTATCTGCCGATTTCGCTCCATATAAAAACAACGAATATCTAATTAAAATGTTAAAATGACTTGTATTGAGAATTTTAATTGCAAAATTTGACTTGGAGGGCCTGTTATTTTGCCTATTTCACCATATTGTGTAATTATAATGAGCAAATTCTCAGTCAATGTCATACAAATTTTTTTAGTTTTAAGCAAAGTTTTCGGAATCCATTGACAGAATTTCAACAATATTTTGAAAAAAGACTTGCTTGTCTCCATGGTGATATTGTAGCCTGGAATATTCTAAACTTACCTCTATTTATTGCTACAAGGAGATGGGAAAGTTTAACGCCATTTTGTGGAACGTTCCAAATCCTTGGAGACCAGCGGGCTGTGGACCTCTCGAAGTAAAGTTACGCAGTACGTCTTTAAATCAAGATTCCTACAAGTCATTTTAAGTCACAGAGATGCCCGTTTTGTATTTCAAACATGATTGAAGACACTGGAAATGCTTTTTAATATGTCAAATGTGTAGAATAGGTTGCGTTCACGTGAAATCACAACGTCAACATTGCACAGTCCCTTAAGTTTAAACAGAAGTCGGAATTTGAATGTTGGAAGTTGCTGTTTTAATTGTCAGATTTTAGATTTGACCTTTATTATTATAGTTCGTATCTCTGTAGTACTGGACCTGTTGGCAAGAAAGAAAAACTGGCGCAAAGTTCAGCCTCTTCATTTTTTCACAACATCTTCAGCCAGTTTAAGTTTTAAGTTTGTGGAGCTACTTCCTAAATAAATAATAAGCAGTGAATCTTCCTTAGACTTCTACAGACCCCTGCCCTCCGTCTGAAGTCACGATGTCAAATTCTAGAGCATGAACGCAACCTATTAATGGTAAAACTCCTTCTGTTTTGTGCCACTGCCGTAGACTCCCACACACACACACACTCACGCATTACTGTAAGTGTTCTGGTTTCTTCCCTCTTAGTTTCATGGCTGCACTCCTAAACAAAAGTGTGTGTGGTAAAGATTCTGTAAATAAAATACAAATGAAAGAAATGGTGATGGTGTACCATATTTATACTCCGCTCTGGAGTTCAATAAAGATGAGAAAGAAAAATGTGTTTTGAGTCTTGGTTTCATTTTCAGCTGATATCCGACATTTATCCTCCTGTTCATCTTTGCACATATTGATATTTTGAAACCTGTAACAGCAAGATGGATTCTCATGGTATTTGTGAGTTTCTGTAGCCAGGCTTCCGCCACCTAGTGACTCCATTCAATTTCATTTCTCTCCAGCGACTAGGTCAGGAATCAGAATACACTAGACTGTTCACAAAAACCCTGGAAGTGCGAGTTCAGGCACCAGCCAATCAGCGAAGGGGCAACGATTCTTGAGATCAAGGATTTAAAGCCGTAATATAGACAATGTTTGGTGAATTTCATCAAGGGGAAAGACGTTACTGACGTCCTTCGTGTAGGATTTGGGAAAAGCTTAATATACCAGTTATCCCCGTCAGCGGTGCATAACATACATCACAACCAAAAAGCAGTGATTGGTTAGATGATAAAAAGTACCTGTCTACCGACAAGCGAGCAAATTCTAACACTGCGAGAGTTTCTGAGTAAACTCAGGAGAATTCATCTTGAATCTGTTTATCATTTTTTCATTCATTTTTCAAAATAAAACCAAAAATAAGAAAACCAAAAAACTACATTCTTTATTATTTGTCTCCAAAACCAAAATGAACAAATGGATAACAATTTGTTTTTCAGTTTTCAGAAAAATCTGATAACTGCCGTTTCTGGTTGCTGTGTTTCTGGTCCCAGTCTGGTCTTGGTCTCAGTCCTGGTCTCAGTCCTGGTCTCAGTCCTGGTCTCAGTTCTGGTCTGGTCCTGGTCTGGTCCCAATGTCATTTCTGGGCTGGTCCTAGTCTGGTTCTGGTCTGGTCCCCGTCTCAGTTCCGGTCTTAGTCCTGGTCTTAGTCCCATTCTGATCCTGGTCTTAGTCTCGGTCTGGTCCTGGTCTCAATCCTGATCAGCCAATAGTCTATGCTGGCGCACCTCCGGGCCCGTCCCAACACTCAGTCCTGGTTTAGACCGTATGCGGCGCAAAAGTCCGGCATCTCAGTTTAAGTCAAGGATTTTCATAGAGGAGTCAATATTCTATGGGGGGTCAACATACCATAATAGGATTCTGAACCCGGAGTCAACATACTATATGGTATGTTGACCCCGGGGTCACCTCACCGCGGGGTCAAAATACTATACCACACCGGCTTTAAATCCTCGATCTCAGGAATCGTTGACAACACAGAATGTATGGCTCTGGCTTTGTTATCGAAGGCAGCAGAAGTTCAAGTGCTGTGATTGTGTGTTTAGTTTGTGAATGAGGCTGATTTGTAAGAGGCTCTTAAGGCCGTGGACTCTGAAGCTCTAATCACTGTTTGTGTTGAGGGTAAAAGCTGCTCCACAGGAAAACATGAAGCAAAACAACACAGCGTCAGGTTTCATCAGGACTAATGTCTCCGATCACAAACCATATTCAGACGCGGCGGGCAGATCATTACAAATAATACAGGTTCCAGGTAAAGCAATAACATCTCCATGGTAACAGCCACCTCACCAGAAAAGTGGCATAGTGCACCTTTAAAGGGCCGATATTACCGTGTTTGCCACACTTTTAGGCGCTCTGGATTATAACACACACAGTCATAGAATGGTCTATTTTCGAACTTTTTTCATAAATAAACCGCACTGGACTTTAAAGGAAACACAACAGTTGGATGGGTCAGTGGGACTTTGTTTGTTTGTCGTGTTCACGGTGACTCTGGGCTTTGTTCAGTTGTGGTGTGTAGGGAGGGTGCTGTCTGGGACCCGCTGGATTGTCGGTGTGTTCGCAGTGACTCAGTTGTTCAGTTGTGTCTAGAAGTGGCACATTACACTTTTTCGGTTCCGTTCCTCGTCGGCGTGGAGTGATGAGTGTGTCTGTGGGTGTTTTTTGCTGAGCGGTCGCTGTCTGCTCCGTGTGTGTTTGCGTGTTCTGCGGGTGATGCAGCTTTGTAGTTTACTGAAGTCTTACTGGGACACCCAAGTGGATTCATGTACAGGGCGCTCTGGATTGTGGGGCGCACAGTCGTTTGTTGATGGAGTTGGAGGCTTAAGAGCGCGTCCTATGGTGCAAAAAATATGGTACGCCATTTTCTGTTCTTTGTTTTAATATAGTTTCTTCATCACAAACAGACCTGGAGTTGTATTTTGTTTCATTCACACATGTTCAACACACAAACCCTGCATATTTGAACATATGAGTTCTTCTCTCAAAGAGAAAACACTGTTCCACCTTGTGATGTCAGGGGGCAGAGTCCTGCACTGGGTAGTGACAAGTACGGGCAAATAGTTGCTGAAACGAGCGGGTTTTAATGTTCTGGAATTTTAGGGGTGGGTATGTGGGCGGCTAGTGATTACACATAGGCAGATCAGGACTAAACCAGGACTAATCTTGGACTTAAGAGAGAGAGAACCCCACGCCCGTGGAGCGGGGTGAACGTAAAACACTTCTGAGGTAGATCTTGACCTGAGTCCTGAAGCCCGAGGGTCCTGGTCGGGTCTTTAAAATGTCCTGAATCATTACTTCGGTTTGGTTTTCGGGTCGGGTTCTTGGCTTCAAATAAATATAGTCCTGTTTAGTAAAATGTATGCTAAAAGTCCTGGTTTATGTGTTGGAGTCCTAAAAGTCCTAAGGAATACTTGTTAGTAAAATAAATAATAGTGGATAAAACAGAGAAGTAATGTAAATGTAATTGCTATTTAGCTACTGAAACAGGATCCGCAGACCAGAGCTCTGCGCACTGTGAACACCCCCTCTTCATTTAATTCATCTTCCCCTCCGAAGTCTGCATCTATTTTGAACCTGTAACAGCCCCAGGACTGTCATAGGAGGAAATGCAAGAAGTTAAACAACTAAAGGCAGGAGAACAAACGCAAACGCCGCAACAAATACAAATGCGACAACACAACAAAAAGCCACAACAAACCAAAAAAAGCCACAATGGAAATGACCGTGGGACTCTATTTTAATGTAAACGCCGCAACAAACACACACGCCACAACACAAACGCTGCAACACATTAAAAAGCCACAACACATTAAAAAGACACAACACATCAAGAAAGCCACAACGGAAGTGACCGCGGGACTCTATTTTCCGACGGACCGATCAAGCGGCAAGTGAAGAAGAAGAACTACAATGTGAAACGAATAATGATAAAACAATAAATTACTTTTACTTACGTTTCCAAATTCTCCGTTCTTTTACTTTTCACGTTGTAGTTCTTCTTCTTCACTTGCTGCTTGATCGGTCCGTCGGAAAACAGAGTCCCGCGGTCACTTCCGTTGTGGCTTTTTGATGTGTTGTGGCTTTTTAATGTGTTGTGGCGTTTGTATTTGTTGCGGCGTTTGCATTAAAATAGAGTCCCGCGGTCATTTCCGTTGTGGTTTTTTTGGTGTGTTGTGTCTTTTTTTGGTTTGGTGTAGCTTTTTGTTGTGTTGTCGCATTTGTCTTTGTTGCGGCGTTTGCGTTTGTTGTGACCCCTCTCGGCCTCCGTATTTTTCAGACCTGGATTTGCCAATCTCTACTGAACTAAAGGTAAAAAGATCCCTGTTAACTTGAAAATTACTTTATGTCGCTTCATACGCTTCATGACATCACAAGGTGGAACATTTTGAGCATTTTGAGCTTTGGAGATGTAGACTAATAGAAAATGAAATGTGTGAATGAAACCAAACACACCTCCAGGTACTTTCTCACTTGACTTTAAAGCTCAAGAATCCGTTTTGCGTAATATAGGAGCTTTAAGTTCCGTTTAATTCATTTCTTTGTTCATTCACGAGCGTTATCGCCTTCACCCTCCTCTCTTCTTTCCTTCGCTTTCTTTCGCCTCGTTCCCTCTCTCCTCTGTTCCCCTGGTGGTTGCTATGGCGCTACAGCCCAAAATAACCTCCTTTATGTTGAATAAACCAGTTTAACCTGAGCAGACTCATTCACCGCACGGACCCCGCCAATAGACAGATACTTAAACACAACAGGAGCACAGTGAGGGGCCCACGTTAACACAGGGACATATTTAGAACTTGGAAGATTTCACTGTTTTCCAAGTATGAAAGCGGGGGTAGTTTACTTCTACGGGGTATTAAGTGCTAACACATGACATATTTAGATCACGGGGTTACGTTGGATGCTTTTGGCCTCCCTTTGCTCTGTGTGCTCCCCCTTCAGAGCATCATCACAATACAATCAGCGGGCGGCGGTCGCTTAGTCGGTAAAGTGTTCGAATTCCGCTCTCGATGTAAACATTGTTGATTTTGTGGTGCGATTCCAGCTCCCACAGTAAATACTCTCTCAGTGTTTCCTTGGGCAAGACACTTAACCCACCTCATTCCACTCTTGACATATACTTTGTACGTGTTACACTGAACGTTACTCTATTACTTTAGAGTAATGTTACACCCTGATGCAGTTGGGTGAGGGGGAGGAGGGGTGGGTCTAGTGAACGGGCCCTCTGTTCTGTCAATCAACTGGCGAGAAGAACAACTGGAGAATAGACACATCAAGAATCTCAGACATCTGGTCATTGAGCAATGCATACTGGGAAGGATTCTCCTAAAACGTGAGCATCAAACCACCAAGTTTGATTTTACAGTGGGATGTGTCTATTGACAAAGACGATCTTTTCAAGTCTTTTGAACCATATCACTTTTGTTTCTGGTTCTGATATTGTCATATTCAGTGTTGGGGAGTAACAGATTACATGTACCGCCGTTACGTAATCAGAGTACAAATTATGAGTAACTGTATTCCGTTACAGTTACTGTTTCAATGAGTGGTAATTGGATTACAGTTACTTTGCTGAAATAAGTGGATTACAAGGCGGTATTTTCCTGTTTTCACATTTTGTGCTACATCCCATTTATTTATTTTTTATTTCGGTAATTCCACTCATTGCCGGAAACCCAAACAGAACGCGTGCGCAGTAAGAGCGATGTAAACGTCATGTTAATGTTGGCGGTGTCAGTCACACAGTGGAAGCAGCAGTGCATTGGTAAAAACGCATTTGTGTCTT